CCTCCCTTGCAAGAGAGGGTGGCGGTCCTGCAGCTCAGAGTCTGGCCCCTCCCACTGCTCCCTCCCCTGGACTGGAGGCAGCCGGGCTGCCTTTCAGACCCCAGGGTCTCCAGTCCATCTTGGAAAGGGGAAGCTGGAGCGTGGGTGCTGGACAGGGAGTCCCGGTTCCGCGCCCGCCGGTGAGGCTGGGAGGGAGGCCCCCACTCCGACCTCCAGTCCTGCGGGCACGCCCTTCTACAGTTCTATGTCCTCTTTTAGACACGCAGGGGGCCCGGCCAGAGGGGTGGACCCGGGGGCAGGAGAGGAGACGGCCCCTGGCAGGAAGTGGCCACGCCTGCCCCCTGCCCCAGCCCTGCTGGAGGGGGACTGGCAGGACCCCCTTCTGCCCTGAGGTCTCCCAGCCAGGCCTGTTCCACATCTGGGGCCCAGAGGGGGCACCTCCTCATCCCTCCCCACCAGAGATCTGGGTCAAGGCCTGAGCGGCTTTCTCAGGACTGGCTCCCACACCCACCGCACATGAGCGTGACTTGGAAAGATTTTGGCCCAGCTGGGACCACTTAGCAGGAAATCAGAGTCCCTGAACCAGGTGAGGCTGGTGGAATGTGTGGAGCCAGGTGGGATCCCCTCTCCCCCAGGAAAGCTCCCCCCAACCCCTCCACGGGTGCAGGGCTAGGGGCTCATCTACTCTTTGCCCACCAACCCTAGCCCATCCTCTTATTGCCCTGTTGGGGTGGGCCATGATGAGTTCAAACAAAAATGCCAGTTTCCGTCTGGGGACCTGGAGTGTTTATCTGAGCGGAGGCTCTTTCTCAGGCCTTGGCGGTGGTGCCCTCCCCAACAGAAGCCCGCCCCTACCCTTCTAGGTAGCGGGCAGTTCCCAGGTGCCCCTGGGTCACAGGTCCTGACTGGGGTGGGCTCCCAGGGGGGCTCTGCTCCCCACCTAGCCCCAGGGTCTGCGGACCTCTGCTCTGAGGAAGTGGGGGCGGGGCCTTGTGGATGCAGAGTGCCCACTCTAGTAGACCCTGGAAAGCTCACCCTGCCCCCCCAGACCTCCTGCCACAGGCCCTTTCATGGGGTTACAGAGCTACGGTCCAGACGCTTCTTCATGAGCAGGCGGATTCGGCCAGCCTGGCTGGGCGCTCAGACCCCAGTCCTGACTTTACACGTGGACGAGGGCAGGCAAGTGGCCTCGGTTCCCAGACCAGACCCTCTTCTACCAAACAGGCCGGGCCTTCAGCGATCTCGACCAGGTGGCACCCGAAAGCCCCTCCCGGGGCACACAGGGTCGGAGAGCCTTAGAAATGATCAGCAAAGACACAGGGGTTCTGTGTGTGTGTGTGTGAGCGGCTTTGGGGGACCACGGCCCCATCATGCACATGGGGACACGGACCTGCGGGGCTGCATGGTCAGGCCTGGTGCCCACCTGGGGACCCCAATCCCGACACACACCTGGCGGTCTTCAGTCAGTTCCTGGGGGAGGGTGCAGCTTCCTTGGGAAGCCTAGACAGCTTGGGCCCCTTGCTCAGACAGCCCCACTGCCCGGGGTCAGTGTCACCAGAAACATCGACTGGAGATGTCCTCCGAAGTCCAGTAACTTAGGGACGATTAAGGGAAGTTCCGTAATGAGGAAATCATTGACTCAAGCGGATTGTGGAGGTCAGTGCACACTGGGGGCTGGCGGGCGGGACCGCTGCCGCTGGAGGGCAAGTTCTGCAGGGCCCAGGGTCGGAGGTGCCCCCCCGGGTGGGGCTGGGCTCGGGGTGGTGGGGAATACGGAGCTGCCAGCTGAGGCTCCTGCTTGGGGTGGGCCTGTTTTTCTTGACTGCACATCCCAGGTCCCTGGGCTGAGGATGCAAACCGGCTCCCCCAGCCCCTCCAGTTCTTCCTTCTCCCCAAACAAGGGGTGTGCCTGACTCTGGTTGGGGGGGTTGCTTCCATCTCTTCTCCACAGACATCACTCCCAGACCTGGAAACTGAGTCAAGTTCTGCAGCTGCCCCTTCACCTCAGCCTCAGCCTCAGCCTGCAGGTGCGTCCCTGCCTGGGGGCTCCGGGGAGAGCTCAAGGGGGACTGGCACAGGTTCAGGAGGAAGGCGGCTCTGAGCTCCGGGGGGCCCAGATGCAGAGAGCAACCCCGCGGGCCAGCCGTCTGGGCTGCCAGGAGCCCGCGTGACCTGGTGGGGGCCTGTGGTGGGGGGTGAGAATGAGGACTCGGGCGGCTGGGCCCCGCAGGCACCCAGGTGGAGCAGGGTGGCTGTTACTGCTTAGTCTCTCAGCTGTGTCTGACTCTCTGCGACCCCGTGGACTGCAGCACGCCAGGCCTCCCTGTCCATCCACAACGCCCGGAGCCTGCTCAGACTCACGTCCATTGAGTCAGTGGTGCCACCCAACCATCTCATCCTCTGTTGTCCCCTTCTCCTGCCTTCAATCTTTCCCAGCATCAGGGTCTTTTCATGAGTCGGCTCTTTGCATCAGGTGGCCAAAGTGTTGGAGCTTCAGCATCACTCCTGTGAATGACCATTCAGGGTTAATTTCTTTCAGGATGGACTGGTTTGATCTCCATGCTGTCCCAGGGACTCTCGAGGGTCTTCTTCACTTGGAGCCGGGCAGCACTGGGCAAGTTCTTCCTCACCCCAGGCCTCAGTCTCCTCAGCTGTAAAATGGGCTGATGATGCCAAGTCGTGAGGATTAAATGAAGGGAAATGAGAGGAAAGGGCTCAGGTGCCAGCTCGTTCTGTCCCGAGAGCAGCCACTTCAGGGGGAGGGGATTCTCAGTGCGACCCCACGTTGGACTCTGATGGGTCTGAGAGAGAGAGAGAGAGAGAGAGAGAGAGAGAGAAGCCCTCCCTGGGGACCAGAGGACTGGCTGCCTCTGTAGCCCCTGCAAGCGCCCTGCAGTCACCGGGCCCCACAGCCCTCCCCGACCCAGGCCTGCGTCCAAGCTGCCCACCCGCTCCTGTGTGGTCCCCTCTGCAGGAAAGAGGCCGCCCGGTGGGTCTGCCAGGACCGCTTCCCAGACAGGACCGCTTGTCCCCTCTCCCAGCTCCAGGCTGGGGCCAGGATGAACCTTCCCCTTGAGCTGGAAGAGGTCCCTGCCGCCCCCGGAGCCAGCCGAGGAGGAACTGTGCGTGTGTCTGTGGTACATGTATGTGTGCCTCGGGGTGGGTGCACACGTGTGTGCAAGCAAGCTCATGCACACACAACCTGCAGTATGCTCACGGGACGTGTGTGCCCATGCGTGCAAGTAGGCATGTGTGTGTTGTGTGTGGTGCCTGAGTGTACATGGGATGTGTCTGTGTGTGTGCATGTATGACTGTGAGTGTAACGCTGGAGTGTGTGCTCGTGGGGCGGGTGGGAGTGTGGGCACTCGCTAGCGCCTGTCTGAGCCCAGGCACCCAGCAGCCCCCTTCGCACCCAGCAGCCCCCTTCGCGCCCAGCAGCCCCCTTCGCGCCCAGCAGCCCCATGTGGCACAGGGCTGTTTTGGGGGCGAGGCAGGGGGCAGCGAGGGGAAACAGCTCAGGGCCCGCCCCCACCCGGCTGGCGCCCCCTCCCTCTGCAAAGTCAGTTGAACCTGGCGCGGTGGCCACCGGAGTGAAAAGCCCTCCACCTGCCAGATGTTCTCCGGGTCAATTGTTAATGCCTCGCATCAATTATTGAAGGGGAGGGCTCCCTCTTTTCTTAAAAAAGCAGCGGCAGCGGAGGAGCGCTCGGGTTACCTGAGCCCACGCAGGAGGGGCCGTCCTGGGAGGAGCCGAGCCCTGGGTCGAGATGTGCAGGGGCGACTTCCCAAGGATCGCTGCTCAAGGCCCTGGGCAGGACAGGGAGCGTTTCCCGGGGTCCTGAGTGAGCCCTGCTCAAGGCCTGTCCAAGGAGGACCCTGGCAAGAGATGGGGGCAGGGGTCCTGGCGGTGGTCGCACCACAGTAGACCCCTTCTCTCCCTCCGCTCTGCTTGGCCGCGCTCCCCTGGAACCAAGTGTCTGGAGGGATGCGATCAGGGCGGCTTTGTGGTCCTGGAGGCAGGGCCCTCTGTAGCCTGGGGGTCCTCGGATCGTGTGGCCTGGTCGGGGTCCTGGGATCGTGTGGCCTGTTCAAGGTCCTGCTGGAATCGGCCAGCCGCAGATGGGGGACGTGCAGAGCAAGCACGCCCCCAACCCACCCTCTGTCCAGGCCGAGAGCTCCTTGAGGTGATTAGAGCTTCAGGCCAGGAAAGCCGGTTGGGGGTCAGCCCCTGCCCTGTGTCCTCCCTGGAGAGGGAGGCAGTAAGCTGGCCCATCCCCCCAGTGGCCCTTGGCCGGACCAGGATGAAGAGCCCCGAAACCCAGACTTCCAGGGCAGCCCGCAGGCTTCGGGACTCAGCGCAGTGTCCGCAGCCTCCTGCCCCTTGGAGATGCTGTGTGGTCAGGGGCTGGGGGCTCTGGGTGCTGCAGACCGACGTCTGAGATCTCATTTTGGAATCAGACATGAGAGGCGGGAACCACGTCTCCAGTTTCATTGAGTGAGAAGGCAGGGAGGGCCTGGCAAGCAGAGGGGACGTCCTCGGGGCCACAGCAGCTGCCCAGGTTCAAGCCCGGGTCTCCAGGACTCCGGCCCCGAGCTGAGCTGGCCTCTGGGCCTCCAGGGGCCACGGCTGGCCATGTCTGGGGGCAGCCCTCATTCGGTGGTCCTCCTCACGCCTCGCCAACCCCGCGTGGCAGATGCTGCCCTGGGTCCATTTCATAGACGAGGAAAGTGAGGCCTGAGGGCTGAGCTGTGGTCATCCAATCAAGGCCCCAGCAGGTGAGGAGTGGGGCTGGGGTCCGAGCCCACCACTGCTGCCCCGGAGCAGCACAGCCCGCACACCCAAGAGACCCCTGGCCCTGCCCCCTGCCCACGGTCACCGAGGCACAAACTGGGCGAAGGACAGTCGTCCTGCTCCTCGTGTGTCCGATGTCAAGACATCCGATCGGACTGGTCGGGCCTCCTCTGCCCACGTTTGCTGGGGCCTCTCCAAGGCGCCTGAATTATGCACGAGGCCCGACCTGCAAGTGGCAGATGGAGGCGCCCACGGTAACCAGAGCCGGGGGGTAGGGGGGGGTGTGGGGGAAGGGGGAGCGGTTGTCCAGGGCGGGGCACACAGGCTGTGCCTGCCCCCCCTCCCCCCGGAACTCGCCGTGAGGGACGGACCCAGCAGTCTGTGCCCAGGCGCTGCGTCTTTGAACCCCGTGCACCTGGCGGGTGCGCGCCTGGTCCTCACGGAGCTCTGGTGGGGAAGCGGGTGGGAGGCCGGGCGGGCAGACGGAGGCTGGAGGTCTCAGGCCCGAGCTGGGCAGCCAGGGCTGGGCTGCGGCAGGGCCCAGAGCAGCTGGGGCCGGGGCTCACACTCAGCTGTCCTAGAGCCTGGCAAGGCCTGCCTTTCACTGAAACCCCAAACATGGAAGTCCATCTGGTTACAGGAGTGGAGGCGCTGCCTGAGGGGGGACAGGGGAGGTGGGCGTGCTGGGGGGTGGCCCCCAAGGACAGCAGGGGCACCCTCGTCCGCAGGGTCTGAGGCCAGAGCCCACGGTGGGGGCTCGGGGCAGAGGCGAGGGGAGACTCCTGGGTCGTAGGGCTCAGATCCTCCCCCGGATGCCTGTCCTTCCACGTCCCGTGGTGGCCCTTCCGGCTCTCGGGTCTGTTGAAATGACAGCCCCTGAGAGGAGTCGCCAGGTGTCTGTCAACCTCACTCCGCCCCCTCCGCCCCGCCCCCAGGCCCAGGACCCGCCCTCTCACTCACTGCACCCACACCCTCCGGGTAGGACTTGCAGACCCCGTGTGCCCCCGGATTGCCCATCACTCCAGCCTCTGGGCCGGCGAGTCCTCCCTGAATGCCCCCAGTCCCCTGGGTAGTGTGGACCGTGCGAGCGTCTCTCCAAACAATGATTTATCTCAGAATTAAGTGTATTACACCGAGAACTTGCCAGTTCTGTCCCGCCAACGTGCATAGGAAATCTGGCTAATTAAATATATTATGCAGTGTAGCCTTGATTGTTGGGAATGAATCAGGTTAATTGCGGTGAGAATCACGCTTCGTAATTAACATTACCGCCCTAAATCAAAGACGGGGCACCTTCCTGCTCCCCACCCTGGCATGGGAAGCACAGAGGGGCTCCTGGGAGATCCAGGACGCCTGGCACTCTGCTCCTGGTCTCCCCGCGTGTCCCCTTGGGGGAAATGGGGCCTCAGGCAGCAAGATGCCTTAGTCCACCCCCTGGGCTGGCGAGCCGGGCCCTGGGTCCAGTTCAGCCCTTACTAGAGGGGATGGCCTATGAAATGAAGTGTGGGGGGGCGAGCCCAGGGGGTTGGTGGGAGGGCCTGGGAGACACATAGGCAGCTTCCATGACAGTGTCTCCTGTGGCTACGTCCAGGAAGCCTGGCTCCGCTCTCAGCAAAGTCCTGGCCTCACAGAGCTGGCATCCAGTGGGGGAGACAGACAAGCAAAACACTCACGGGAGAGTCCAGGGTGTCGTGACGGAGGCCAAGGTGCTGGTCCTGCCGCCACCGGGGAAGAGGCCTGTGAGCTGATTCCTGAGCGGCAGGAAGGAATGAGCCACATGAGGCCCTGGGGGAGGGAAGTGGCAGGTGCAAAGGCCCTGAGGTGGAGACAGGAGGCACCAGGGAGGCCAGGGTGGCTGGGCTGAGAGGCTGGCATGGGCCGCCATCACCCTGCCCCCCTGCCCCAGCCCCAGCAAGTACGGGCTCACCCCACCTCCACCTTGGGGCCTGTCGCTGTGGCCCCGGGGTGGCTCTGGGCCTGCGCAGTCTAGCCTCCCAGGAGGCCTGAGTGGGGACAGGACACCCAGAGTGGCTCAGGGAAGGCTGGCCACGTCCTTAGAAGCCACCCTCATCCCTGGCCTGCAGAAGTAGCTGCATCCAGGCTGGGGGGCCATGCAGGGAGGCATGAGGTCATGACCCGAGATAAGCCCCTGGGGCCTGCTCTGGCTTGACCCGTGGCCACCGGGTCCTGAGCTATCTCTGCCCTGAGCCCTGGGTGGCTGGCGGGGCCCCTGGGCAGAGGCTTCGGCCACAAGTGGCCCCACCCCGGTTCCCTAGCCTGAAATCCCACCTCAGAGCCATCCTGGTGAGTCCTGAAGCCCCCCACCCCTCTCTGGAGGCCTTTCTTGGGGAAGCCACAGTCTGATCTGCTCAGGGCGGGGTAGAGGCTCGGGCAGGAGCCCTGGGCATCCACGTAATGACGCGGGCGCGTGGGTGAGAAAGGACGCTTGGGGCGGGCACTGGGCCCCCAGAGCCCCCCTACCCCACTCCGGGATCATCCTGGGGTCTAGGCCCTGAATTCCTATCACATTCACCGGCCAGTCTAGTCAGGGTGCCACAGGCCACGGGAGGGGACCCTCCAGGGGCCTGCATTCCCATGCTAGGGCAGCGGTGCTGGTGGGATCGACCCAGCGGGGGGCCCTGCAGCAGGCACCACCCCCCACCCCTGCAACCTCCGGATGTTCCCAAGGTCAGGACCATCCGCTGGCAACCAGGCTCCCCTTTCGCCCTCGGCGGACCGCTGGGGTCAGGGGCCAGGTGGGCCTCTGAGAGCCATGTCCGGATGAATATCCGCGCTGCTGAAGGGCAGGGCAGGTGGGGCGGCCCAGCAGCCTCCCGGTTCCACTTTAATTTCATTTCCCTGATGAAACAGCAGGATCAATCTGCTGGCCATTTAGCAAGGTGTCCCCATTTGCATACTTAAAAGATGCTGCGGGTGGGGAGGGGCCGGCTGGGGACGGAAAACGTGCCTGGGCTGATTGAAGCCAGCCTCGCCTTGGCTAAAGGGAATTTAATTTCCAAGTGTGCACTCGGAATAGATTGCGGCCCGCAGATGCCCGCACCAGGAGGAGCCGCGGAGACAGTGTCTTAGGGGGGCGGCGAGTGTGCACCCCGCGTCACTTCCCTTCAGCGTCTCTGTCCTGCTCTGGATTTTAGCAGGAGTTCTTATTGATTTTTTTTTTTTAAACACTAGAGGTTTCCCAGCCTTCCAGAGAAAGGGGAATTTAGTCCCCATGAAGGTGACGGATGGATCGTCCCCTGACTTCCCCGTTTCCCCAAGAATCTGGAGTGCGAGAGTCCCCCTCGTCCAACATAGAGTACATCCCTCACCACAGGGGCCGGGGAGGAGCCTCCCTTCTGGGAGGCCGGGACAGAGGGGACTCTGGGAGGCCGGGACAGAAGGGAACCTGGGAGGCCGGGACAGAGGGGACCCTGGGAGGCCGGGACAGAGGGGACCCTGGGAGCTGGGACAGAGGGGACCCTGCCTCCTGGGCTGCTCTCAGCCTCCTGGTCCATCCTCCATGGGGCCAAAGCCGCACTGGACCCTGTGGCCTCAGGGCCCAGCACGTCTGGATTAGAGGGGCGGGGGCTCCCCTGGGGTTTCCCAGGTGGCACTCCTGGTCCAGAACCCGCCTGCCAATGCAGGAGACGTAAGAGACGTGGGTTCGATCCCTGGGTCGGGAAGAGTCCCTGAAGAAGGGAGCAGCCACCCACGTTGGTACTCTTGCCTGGAGAATCCCGTGGACAGAGGAGCCTGGCGGGTTACAGTCCCTGGGGTCACAAAGAGTCGGAGGCAACTGAAACCACCCCCGCCGGGCTCCTCCGGGGTTGGGGCAGCTGTCCTCAGCCAGGCCCCCATCACGGCGGGGCAGCGGGCTGTCCCCGGAGCTGACTCAGCAGGGGGCCCTGACCACGTGAAGCCCTGAGAGAGGACTGGGGGGTGAGGACTGCCCAGGGCATGTGGACCTACTCTCTGGACACCCTGGCTCACTCTCGGAGCCCGGTGGACGCAGCCCCACTGTCTTTCAGCCGTGAGGGGACCCTGCCCAGCTCTGCTTGTGACGGGAGCCAGCACCTTCCTCCCCCTGGGATCGGGGCTCCACCTGGGGCTGGGGGCTGGGCTCAAGGCCCAGTCTGCCCCAGGGGTGGGCTGCAGGCTCTGATGGAGCTGCAGGTCCGGACTGTCGTGAGGCCCACTGCCCCCTCCTTGAAGGGCCACTTGGTCAGTAGCAGGCAGTTGCCCTGAGACCCTGCAGGGAAGGGCCCTCCTGGGCTCCGCCTCCCGCCAGCCTTGAGGCTCTGAACAGGTCATCCCGTGCATGAAGTGGGGGCAACATCGGCACCCCCTCGTGGGTGCCACCATCACATGAGCCCTGTGCTGTGGAGCTGAGTCCCTCAGTCCTGTCCAACTCTTGACGAACCCACAGCCTGTAGCCCGCCAGGCTCCTCTGTCCGTGGGGTTCTTATGGTCAAAGGCAGGGAGCAGAGTGAGGGAGGGCTGAGTTGGCGCTTCTGGCTCTGATCCTAGCGCGTTCTCATCCCCACACGTGCCAGAGAGGGAGCCCCCTCCTCCGGGACACAGTGGAATCTGCTCTGGGGCCACTCGCAGAAGCTAGGCTGCCGTCTCCCCAGGACTGGACTGGGGACAAGGCGGGAGCAGGCCAGCCCCTCCCCGCTGCCTCTCACCTCCTGGGGGCCTGAGAGGTGCAGCTGGGAGAACTGACCGTGCCCCCCAGACCTCCCAGGGTCAGCTGGGGGCCCAGAGGGAAGAATAGGCACTTCTGAGGGTCCAGGTTGCTCCTGGAGAGAGGGCTGGGCAGCGGCCAGACTGGGCCACATTTCAGGCCCCGAGGGTCTCTCCTGATCTCCATCCCTGGACCCTTGAGCCAGCCAATGCCAAGGCCAGGGCTGTGGCCCCCAGAAGGGGCTGAGCGGGCAGCTATGACAGGGTGGACAGCGCCTGCTGGGCAGCCTCTGCTCAGATGCCCCTAGCACGTAATCTTTGTGCCCAGAAGCTCCCGAGTAAATAGAATAAACAGTGGGACCCCCACTGCCTGGAGTACCAGAAAACCGTGTATTTATTTATTTATTAACAGCCTGTATGGTTTGCAGGATCTTAGTTCCCCGACCGGGGATCGAACCTCTGCCCCCTGCAAAGGAAGTGCAGAGCCTCAACCGCTGGACTGCCAGGGAAGTCCCAGAAAACAGTTTAAAACGGCACGTGGGAGGGTCCTCACCACCACAGGGAGTGCCTGATGCTAAATATTTAACCTCCAGGGGGAAAGGCAGGGGAGCACTCAGAGCGGTCTTGGCGGGTGAAAACAGGCTCCCCCCCGCAGAAAACCGAGGAGGGTCCCAAGCGGGGGCTTTTATTTGATTTTGTTTTTTTGACACTTCTCTGTGACTTCTCAATTTAGGATGATGAACACATCTGACTTCGATCATGAAGGGGAAAATGGAAGAATAACCCGCCAACAATCTGGCAGTTCCCCAAAGGATTAAGCACAGATAGCGATGGACCCAGCAGTG